GCTGCTGCTGCTGCTATGCTACTGCTTCTGCTACTGCTACTGCTACGCCTGCTACTGCTACTGCGCCTACTACTACTACTACTACTACTACTACTACTACTACTACTACGACTACTACTCTACTACCACTACAAGAACGGTAGGCTCAGATCAGATCTTGATAAGGTTCTGGGCTGTTGTGATTCATGATTTGCCCATGGGGCTTTTGAGAATTTCTGGACGAGGTTTTATAGGACGCAAGCCCTCAACGGCTCGATATCCGTATCGATTATCCAGCGCAGTGAAAGTTGGGCATGAGCTGCCTGCAACATAAAACCCTCAACGGTTGTTTAGGTTTTCTTTGTCCAGTCCAGTGGATGTTGGGCTTAAGACGGTATTTTCACATTAATTCACTTACCGCTGCTTTGTTCGCATGACATGTGGTTCTAAACGCGCTGAAAGCCTCAGCGTAGAATATACCACTGCACTCAACGCTCCCAGACCCCCATATGCCAAGAAATCTTCGCTCAGGGCCCGACGATCATTGCCATGAGCGGAGCTGTTACTGTTGAGCAGGATCTTGATTCTTGTGCCTTTCGAGGGGTGTGGCTTGCAGGCCTTAATTACCAGAGCAGGAGTATTGGCGATGCTATACCACATAGTTCCAACAGTACCCTTGACGAATACGATTACTGAATCAAGCTTCTACATTATGGTTTGGGGTTCGGGGTTGCGTCGAAAACTTGTGTGGAAAATTAATGGCCTCAGAAGTGCACTGAGTCCGTTGCCAAGGAGGCGTCAGGATTTAGGGTTAGGGTGTGTATCCATATATCCTTGTGTTCGGATGTCCACATTAAGCACTGTGCCGTATAAGGAGAAAGGGGACACTTGGTATCCAGGGTCCGAAGCGGAACCTAGCTGAACCTACTCTATAACCTGAAGCTCCAAGAGACAAGTCGGGGGTGCCGTAATGTAGGGGCTTAGATAATCACCTATAATATTTAGGGGGGGTTCCTTATTATAACTATATAGTGTACTTGTCCCCAAAACCCTATTCTACTGTAACTAATTAAGGCCTAAGGCCCCCATATTGGGGCCCCTCCTCCGACGGATGCGGCAATTTTAGGCTGTTCTATTCGGGCCCAGTCTTCAAAATGATCTGAAATTAGAATGCATAAAAAATAATGGCCAAGACTTACGTAATATATAAAAAGCTAGCAAAGAAGAAATAAATCTCAAGAGATATGATGGAACCTTTAAACAGCAAGTTGGAATTAGAATATAAGAAATATGAAATAATCAGGAAAAGGCGAGAGAGAATAAACGAAATCTATTGAGGATGATAAATAAGAGATCAGAATTTAGATCCTGAGAGTGCATCACTGTCACAGGAGGAAATCTGCAGGAATGCAAAGCCCTGTGAAAACCAAGGCCAAAGCCCAAAACCTCGAAACCTCCAACGCAATGGGGCATCCTTTGAATTCGAGATCCCTCAAAGCTCCAGGAGAATGACAAGGCAGTATTGAGAGCCCAGACCCTCGCCTCCGCGGTGCGATGGGGGGGGGGGGGTAACCCCTAAGCCTCTTAGAGGCCTTAAGCCCTCAACCGTTAGGGTTTAGGGTTTAGGGTTTGGGTTTAGTGTTTAGGGTTTAGTGTTTAGGGGCAGATCCCAGCCCTAAAGGGCAAGAAGGCTAAAGGCGGTGGGCTTTCTACGCTAGCGGTTGAATGTTGCCCTTCTCACCAGCAAGCTTCAGATTCCAAAAAGGGAAGCTCGGTGAAGGCTAAGGTGGCCGGAGGTTCTTGCTTAAGGGGTCCTTTATCCCAAAGGGTCTAAGTACTTATATGGTAGATACTTTGGGGCCCAAGATAATACCTACTATATGGGTACTTAGACCCTTTGGGTATTCAGTATTCCGGGGTCCATGTGGCAAGGATCTTGGTGCTGAGCATATCTATCGGGCTCGTGCTTGAGACTTGAGACATCAGAAACGCTGAGCAGCAAAGGGAGGACATACAGCTGATAGTAGGATGTTCAGAGCAGCACAGCCGCCGTTGACCGGCTTTTGCCGTTTCAGTTGTTATTGTTTGATCCCTCAGCACACGAACGAACTTGGCAAGGAATAGCACGAAACAATTCGCGACAACTAGAGGTCCACATAGATGCCCATGACAACAGTTGTCGATAATGTATCCATGCACCGTCCATGTTTGTCTGCATGAGCATGATACCTAATTCATTGAAGCGTTGTCGTCGGGGTCTAGAAAGCGGAATCTCATCTCGGCACTTCGAACCTGGACCATACTAAGCCTCACCTTGCAGAACCGGGTGGTAGCCGTGCATTGTTATGAAGGACGATTGAACGCCGTGCCATGAACGCACGAGAATGCGATATCGTCGGAGTCACCGTTTAGATTTCCTGCTTCGTGGCAGGAGCCGCCGCCTGCTTCCTACGAGCTTGAGCAATCCATGTGGGATGCCGCAGCGTGGTGGCATGCTGTGCTAGTGCAAAACTAGCTTCTGAGCCTGTCCCCCTCGACTCAAGAACCCCAGCCCCGCAACGCATACTGTAGGGGTGTGAATATTTTGTAGCCCCAAACCCTTATTCAAGATTCTGATTATTAGTATTGCCCATCCCCGATCGCACATGCTGTGCGCGTATATGGACCCTTGGGGTTTGTTTCAGAATGCCACACGTAACAGTTATATCAGCTGCAGTCAGCTGCTTCTTGAACCCCGTCATATGGAACTGCAGCTGTGCACGGCGGGACAACTCTGCATGCAACAACTGAAACGGACTGGAATGGTGCTGCCTGCTCAAATGAGCGTGTTGTGCCTGTGACCAAGGCCGTGTTGCTGTTCTGTCACCGGACTGCGTGGACCGACAAAGTGATCCTGCTCATAGGACGGCGGTTCTCCTGCGTTCCTGGGGGGGACTCGACTTTAGCAATTGCAGTTCCAGTTGCCGCGACAAGAAGTCGAACAAGCCCTGTCAAACTGGGGGCATTACGCACGCTGCTCGATTACTGCTTGATGTCTGTATGTCTACAAGAACAGCCAGGGTTGTGTCTTGCTACCTAACGCCTTGATATCTGCATCAAGGCGGTATTGCAAGCGCAAGCAGCCGCAGGGGCAGCAGAAGCCACCGTGGTGTTTCCAGTGGTAACCAGGATATCAAAGCCGCCTATCTCCGGTAGCAATGCTCCCATGCTATTGCAAGGATTGTGAATATGGAAGTTGATGCCCGACAGCAAGCCCTCCTCTAGAGGAATGATCGTCAACAGTGGCTTGCAAATTGCGCTCCTCCTCACGGTCTATTTCGACATGCTTCAAAACCCCTACTCTTCTACGAAGGCCGAGTCCGTAAACCCGTTTCCCGAACGAGTTCTCAAAGGGCATTGTCCGGTTTGTGTGGTTTAGGGGTTGCGGGCTACGTAGGGTTCAGGGTTTTCCGAGTTCATCAGTTCAGGGCGCAAGGCTTACTTCAGACAGGTGTTAAATCAGCGCTGCCCTGTTGATGAAGGAAAGCTACAGGATCTCTTTGCATCGCAGGCTTTCTCGGATTTGAGTTTCCGTCGCTGGCCGAGCCTGTGCGATGATGAAGTCCGCCCGGGACCTGCCCTGCTGTGGAGCTGCGCACGTCTATTATCATATTTCTTTAAAGCTGTTTGATCTTTGTCTATTGTCTATTGAGGTTGCATGTTAGTCACTCCTGCTTGGTGTTGCTACTAGCATCATAGTCCTTTCCCGAAGCCGTAAGCTAGCTACTCGTACATTCATGTGGCCAGGTGCACGAGATGGTCCAGTGGCGCGCCTTAAAGGGTCACAGTTACGACGAGTTCGACTCAGACACTGGGTGCCTTTCCCAAAGTTCAGCTGGGCATTTTTGGGCGGTCATTTTATACCCTAAACCCTGTTGCATAAACTCTAAACCCTAAGAGGGAAAATACGCTGTTGCATCGGGCTCAGGGCTGCTGATGCTTCGTAGGCGGTTGTGCTGATTAGTGTTTGAGTGAAAAGTACCCAACTGCCAAAAAGTTTTTTTCACGTCAAGAACAGCCTCTCCCGGACCATGACACGCTTCATGCTCCACCAGCTTGGGGAGACCTCAAACCTCGACGACCCTCACCATTTCTATAGCAGTTGTGGGCTTCTGCGGATCCGAATCCTGCGAACCTTTCCCTGTAGTTACCGTAGTCGCCGCAGCTCAAGCTTGCTGAGAAATGCCCGGCACAACATAGGTACTCCGTGATCAACCGCCTTTGTTTGCACAAGCTGTGGTCCTTCGAGCAAGAAGAGTACAAGGACGCAGTTCTGATTCTACGTCAGCACAGCAATAGCTGATGCGTTCTCTGGTATATCGCTTATACATGCACGCCCGTGCGCCTTTGCTTGTATCTTGGTGTTCCCACACTGCTGATCGCACTTTACATTGCTCGGTACGCTTTACAATCGTTGTCGTCCGGTGCAAGTAAATTTGTGCACGTTGGCCGTATCCTCCTCTCTAGCTTCAAGAGGTTGTGCATCACGGCTTTCATTGATGCTGTGGCCATGTTATCTGTATCAAGGATGTCAGCTTCGATGCAGCGTGGCTGTTGGCGCACGTCGACACATGGGGTTTTGGTTCTGGATTCACAAGGGGTTGCCAAAACAGGCTCGGATCGAGCGTCTGGTTGCAGTTTTCCGGAGTAGTTGCGGCATCTACAATATCCCCAATCCTCTGCAGAACCGAAATGCAAAAATACTCTGCGGAGTCAGGGCTGGCACCAGGCGGAGATTTCAGACGCATACAACAACACTGTGTCGGACTCGCTCGAAGGTGCTTGCGGAGTCTTGGTTCAGGCTTAGAGTTGCTTGTATTGAGGGTGTCGAGATCATATGCCCGTCAAAACCATTGTAGATCCTACTGCAAATATTACGTTGCCAGCTATAACAACAACTGAATCAGTTAGGGCAGTATTCACGAACACGGCAACAATAGCATATAGCATTCAGTGGACTCATTAGATCGGCTTGTCCTCTTGTCCCTGCTGAAAAGCCAGCGTAGAGGCTCCCGACTAACGATCTCCTATACCAGTAAACAACTGAGTGCATAAATCGACACACCTACTCACCTAGCTACCTACCTAGCTAGCTTGCTAGCTCGCTGGCCAAGGCTACCTAGCTTGCGAGCTAAGGCTAGCTCAACTGCTAGCTGGCTTCCTATCTACCGACCTACTTGCCCACCTACCTTCCTACCTATATGCAACGTACATAGACATACATGCAGACATACGTAGTCATATGTGCATACATACTGCATACTCGTACATACGTACATACACACAGATGTGCATGCATGCATGTATCTGTACACACTACAGACAGAGAGACGATTGATTAAAAGACTGCACAAGAATGTCTTCTTACATAACAATAATTATATGCCTAATTGATTGTATATGTACAATCGACGTATCACAAGTCTGCCTGCAGAGAGGGAGGAAGGGCAGGGAAGGGAGGAGTGCGTCCCTCCCTCAGTCCGATGAGTTATCGTTGGAGTTTCAGACCTTCTTGCTTGCTTGGTCTCGAACCGGTGATGCGGGACTGGTTTTCCGGCACTTCTCGGCTATGTAAAGCAAGCCGCTGTCGTTCCAGGAGATGTTCGAGTATCTCTACATGCCAATGCCGGGGTGGACACTTAGTGTTCTGGCCATCATCATGCCGCTTGGCTGATGTCAAGAGTTTGGCGCTGCACGACACGACACGATGGCCTGCAAACATGCATGGGGCACCGCACAACGTTGCCAAGACGGTCCTAACCTCAGGACCGGGAGTCTTCTTAGAACTGACCAGGGCAGTTTTTGTTCTTCAAGGCTGAAGTTCAACGGTTGGATGACTCTGGAGGCATCCCGATGGTGAAGAACTCCTGACTAGTTACAGCCTCCCTCAAGACCCATCAACCCAAGACCGTCAGACCTAGGTGGGTCCTGACCATGATGGCTGAGTATCGACGCTGCTGCGAGCAAGGATTGGCCCTATGGCACCTGCCGAAACTGAGAAGAGGCACACTTCAAGGTTTAGGGTTTAGGGTTTAGGGTTTAGGTGGGGGCTTCTTGGAATCAAGGGTCCCGTATAGGGGTTCTGAGAACTGCACATTACCAATTTGGCGCCCGACTTGGCATAACCGCAACAAACCATGCAGCATGTCTCGGTGAGTCCATACCTATAGTCTCCATTGTAGTTCTTTTTGGGGGATACCTTATAAATTCCTTAATATATAATTGGTTAAATCAAAAAAAGGAACTACAATGGAGACTATAGGTACGATGCAAAAATCAGGGTGTGGGCTTTCGTCGGATTCACCTGCCAGCTTGACGAAGAAGCCTGTATAAGTTATGCCCTAAACTTAAACTCGAAACTAAGCAGAATCCCAGAAAGTACCTTGTCTAGTAAGCACTAGTATAGTTAATGATTTCGATAGTACTAATGCCCGAATTAGAGTGAATGCTGATCAGTTGCTGGCCAAGCAGGCCTGGTCGGCTTCGGGCAAGGATTTTTGCATTGAGCGACTAGAAATACTAGAAATGCGCGGCTTCAGGGCGTGTACGCCTCGAAGGCTTTGGGTCTGGGGTTTCAGGCTTAAGCACGTAGGGGAAAAAGGGTTTTCGGCTTTGGGAAAAGTTCATTACGTTGCGTTCGGAGTAATGGCGGGTCATCCGTGCTCTTCCACGACCATCAGTCCTTCTTCGGATTTTCCGAGTTTTTTTTCACGCCGGCTTGGGCAACTCGAGGCCCCTGCCAGCATTCCCGAGGCTCAGGAAGGAGTCGGGGTCGCTTTCGTTCCAGTTTTTGGGAGGCGACCCTGCCGTGCTGATTACGGAAGATGGTGAACAAGATGAGATTCTCGGAATCTACCCGGTTCTTCGAGCCTTGTCTATTTTTGTACATGCTTTAAGCCATGAGGGTTGAGATGTAGGGTTCCTAGTTTAGCTTAGCACCTAAACCCTCCATTTCGAAGTCGAACCTGGCGAAGACTTGCATACGGGTTGTCAAGCGGCAGGCCATGGAAGCAGACAGTCCTGACATGCACCAAGCCTTGAGGAGCAGCACTTTAAAAGCCGTTAGTATCTGCAGAGTCTGCGATGCAGCTCGCATGGATTCAGGTAGTGGGTGGGCTTTGTCCCTCTTTGGAGCAGAGCCTACTGAGGCTTCTTGGCTTTTACCACACTGATCATACCGCGGCTGTTCGTCACCGTTTGTCTCTGCCTTGCCACTTGGCTGATGTTTCTTTTGTGTGAAGCACTGGCGCCCTGCAATGTTTTGAAACACATTTTGAAGCTTAAGGTTTGGATGCGATCTTAGAATGCCAGGTAGGTAGAGTTGAGAGATTCCGTGCTTGCATCTGGATTCATTTGGGCAAGAAAATTGTAAAATGTCGAGACCTCTGTTTGTGTTGACTTGCCTCAGCAGAATTCCATTCGCAGCTCCTAGCCAATTCAGCAAATTTTCCCCCTTTGCTCCTAAGCCACTGACCCTGTTCATTTTACACCCCTTGATCGTGATTCCCCTCACAACGACATGCCGTTTACATGCTATATCCTTGGATGCGAAGCACGACCATCTCTACGAAGTGCCAAATGTTACCTGGGAGCCCAACCTCGATCCTTTGGTGCACGAAGGGCTCCACGATAATTATAGAGCTCGAAGTAGCAACCATTCTTGTCCCTTGTAGTCAAACTCCTATTGAAATCTTCACGGCCCCTATATTACCTATATGTTCTGCAGTTCACTTCAACAGCTGATGCTGACGCAGTGCTGTTTGGTGCTGTATGTGCATGATCTGGTTTCTTCAACCCTATACTTCAACATTGCGGATTCCAGTGCGGACTCCACCGGATTTTTCCGGTGTTTCCGGCTTGAGATTGACCTGCCCCCAGGTGCACGCTGCCAGGAGCGAAAACTCTGACACCACGCTTCGCCCGAAACGCGTAACCTCGAGGTCAGGGTTTTTCCCGAAGCTTTAGCCCTCAACCCTACGTAAACTTTTGGGCAAGATTCATGCACTCATACAGGCTGGAGGACGGGAAGCAGTGTTTCACCGAAGCCAAGTCTAAGAGTCTAACAACGAAGCCGGCCATCAACTCAGACCCGGCAGTTCATATGGGGGACCTGTCGAATAATATTTAAAATAAGCTATAATATTTGTGGGGTTCCGTTTCATATAATTATAGTATAGTGGGCCCCAAAACCCCATTGTAATTATTAAGGCCCATATGATAGAAAGAATTAGAACTAGCCTTGCCAGACTGTTCAGCCCAGGTTGGCTGCCAATACCTGGCGCAGACGGCTTCCTTGCACGACATCGTGCTCAATGCCGTGGCGTCCCTCGGCTTCTGTGCCCAAAGCCTTCTGCAGGCCCGATGTCTCTGAGCCTTCTCGGCCAGATGCGTCGGATAAAGTAGCTCAGGATTAGAGGATCGGGCAGATGTCTAATTCTTCAACAATGCCTCCAACAAGCCTCACAGAGGTAGCCTTGCGATTCGGGCAAACGGTCTGCGGAAGCTTGCAACTGCTCAGTGTAGTAGTAGACGAAGCCCTGTGCAGTCCATGTTTTCTGCATGGCCATCGGATAAATTTGCTGCCTGAGGATGTTGTTGCTGTAGAAGTTTTTGATGATGGTAAGGAGAACGAACATCCGCCCGAAACCCTAAACCCTAAACCCTAAACCCCAAACCCCAAACCCCAAACCCTAAACCCTAAACCCTAAACCCTAAACCCCAAACCCTAAACCTAAACCTAAACCCTACAGTAAACCTCATTATATTCGGAAGTCGAGGCTGGCTTTTGTCTTGGATGTTGACGAGTTGCTCGCGCAGGCCTGCTGCACCTCTGGGATTGCCAAGAGAGTTTAGGGTTTAGGGTTTAGGGTTTAGGGGACGCGCACATGGAAAGTGGCAAGTAGTACGAAGGGTGCCTGCTGTGCACGGTAACTAATGCATCCATGTGCCGACGGTTTCTTGTCGTGAACCTCGGCCGGAAGCCTCACATCCGTGCACAGCCTCTGGAAGTTAGAGAACGCTCTGTTCCGAATCCACTAACTTCGACAAGAAAAGCCAAAACTCAAGACAACATGCAAGTCTAAAAGATTAACACCATAGCCACAACAACATCGACGACAGCAGCAGCAGCAACAACAACAACAACAGCAACCACTGTTGTTGTTCCTGTTGCCGCTGCTACTGCCGCTACTATTCTACTACTACATGGTTAATTGTTAATACTGCTCGAAGTAATAATTTCCCCGAAAATGCAAGATGAGTCAGGACACTTTGTGAGGTGCAGGGGCTGCATCGTTTGAGCTTGAAGGTAAGGGAATCTCCGATTAAGGTATGTAAGGGCAGATGATGTTCAAAGTACAACAGGTAAAGGCTACATTCTATAAAAATAATAGCTGTTCTGAGCAAAGCGTTCAGGATAGCAAGTTTAGTATCCATTGCGTGTGCCCGAGCCGGCAGGTACTCTTTACAGAAAGAATACGCATGACGCTGCCAAGGATTGCCGGATGTGTTGCCCGCTTCAGTCGTTTGACTTCAAGGTTCACTCCTCGTGTGCAGTGATTTGGTTTGTGCACTCCACTGGCAACAAGCGCTGCTACTGCTCACAGCTCATGCCCAAGTCATACGTCCCATTCAGCTTGCTGTCAATACTTGCGTCAACCTGCTGGTCCAATCTCCGGCCGTGAAATGGATTCCTATGCCTGCTCGCTTGAACGACAGGATCAAGCCCTTGGCCTGCGGTGACAATAAGCTCGTTCTGGGCTTTCCAGGCCTGAGCAGTCTCGTTGCCGCGGTTGCATAGCAGGAGCAGGGGCCTTGCTGGCCAATGCTTGAGTTTCTGCGCCGGCTTAGCATCATGATATGCTTGCACAGGCAAGCGCACCGATTTCTTCGAAAGCTCTTTCAGCTCCACTCGTGTTCTTTTGTGCTAGTGCCGCTGTTGCCTCAGTTAAAGATCTGCTTCGCTACATCCTCACCCTTGGCTTCGTACTCGGAGCGGCTTCTTGGCGGATGCAGCTACGGCCCTCTTCAAAGATATTTCCTGATCCACTCGGAATGTAAGAGAGTAAAACAGACCCTCTAAATAGGAGGATCCTTACAATGCGCCGTCCGAAATACAAGGTACCCTGGGCCGTCAGATCCGTCGCATGAATCGTCATACATTGCTTCCTGCATCCTCACGTTTCGGAAAAGGGAAGATCTTGTACCGTAAAAGTTGGCTGCGCATGTCCCAAAGATTTGGATGTTGGCTGTAAATTGGGGATCTTTGGGTGATGCCGGCACTACTTATGCAGCTCTAAGTGTGCAACAACTCCATGTGCGGCATCATGAAGCACGGACGTCGTTGAAACTACCAGGCAGAGCTGAGCGTGTGGCACGATTGTGGGAACACTCAGATGAACATCCTTCCGTCGAGCCTGATTTGGGTGGTTGTCAAAATTATGGTCCCTTTTGGGGTCCTTATTATAATACGGCACATTATTTAGGGTACCCCAAAAGGGACCATCATGTTGACAACTACCCATTTGTCTCACAGAGCAGTGCATCTAGAACTTGATGTCGCTTCCCATGAGTCGTGAACATGAAAGGTAGTCTCGCTTCAGGAACTCAGCCCCGCACAGCAGGGTTTTTGTTTCTGCAGTGTTCTCAGACATCCCATGTCTTCCACCTTAGCTTTGCACCTAGCTGGCATACAACCTGCACGTAGCTTGCTCGTGCTGTCTGCCATGCATGGGAGCAAGATTCAGGATTCAGTGTGCAGTATCGGGCTCTAGTGTCCAGCCCGCAGAATTTTGCACAGCAAGGTTATCGGCTTCCTGATCCCTTTCAGCGCCAATGTGAACCTGGTCAGGTTTAGTTTCGCCGTACGTGATATTTTAATGTCACCCTTTAAGATCTTTGGTTTGTGTCTTGGGGAGTCATTGCCAACGGCAAAAGCTGGGAGAGATGGCCCGATTGAGGGTTCGAGGCTTGGGTGAGCTGTATGGGGGCTCTTGCATTATGGGGTTTCAGACTGGCGCAGGTGCGCGCGATCGGTGTGGCAACCTTCCGTAGCGGCTTGAGCATGTGGTTGATGATGTCATCTACAACGGGACGTAGTCCCAGCTATTGCATGGAAACCCTAAGACCCATCCTGGGGCTTCGAAGAGCCCTACAAAGTAGGCAACTAGACGGTCCCAGAGGATCTGAGCATGTTCTATGCCAGAGTGGGATTAGCCTGCAAAAGGACTGCAGCTGGCATTACTGTACCCTAACCTCCCAGGTACCTACTATATAGGGCCCTAACAGCTCTAGTACCCTATATAGTGGGTACCTGGGGGGTTGGGGGTACAGCCCTTTCTGAGGGCTTCGGTTGCACCAAAATCTCATCGCGCTTTCCGAGGCAGGCGGCCGCACTGGCACTCTGTGGCGGGGTCCACGATTTCAGCTTCTCCGGAGGTTCCTTGGAGAGGGCCAACAAAGGCTTCACCCTAAACCGCCTAAACCGCTAAAGCCTAAACCTCTGCAGGGTTTAGGGTTCGTGTCGGTCTTCGTCAAGATGACTGGCAGGAGGTCAGGTCTGGCTAGACCTGAGCCGAGTAGGACAAAAGGCCAGGGTTTGGGCCAACAAGTAGACTGACTATGGGGCCCCATGTGCCGAAAACATAGGTGTTCAGGCTTGACTGAAAGTATCGGGCTCGTTGGGAGTTGGGACACCCGCGGAGAAGAGCAGAGCAGCATTCACATTTCGGGATTGCAGCGTCTAGGGTTTAGTGGTTTCCGGCTTAGGGCTTAGGGTATAATGTTTTGGTTTGTTGGCCGTAGTGTTTGAACTGCTGTAGGCTTGCAACCTGGGACTTTGGCACAAATGAACGTCGCAGCATCCAGAGTAGTGCAAGCTCCAAGTTGGCACTGAATCCAGGCCATGCCGACTCCCCCCCGGTCGTTTTGCAGCCGAAATACACTGCCATGGACGAATGGACGCCATCTTGCACTGCACCAGGGGACGACTACGTCCCTCGACCGAATACTCGAAGTTGTAGGGCGTCACGGGGTTGAGGCTGTCATGTGCTATTCCTGGACATGTTCCTCGCATTGGCAGGCCATTCAAATTGATCTTGCTGTAGTTTCGCGTGTTTGCATGTTGTGGTCATTTCAGTGAAGATTCCCGGCACGGTTTTGGGTGCCGCCAGACCTACATCCCGGATAGCACCGAGTCTTGTGACCATAGCACTATGATAGGAGATGGTTATACCTTCTGTACGGGTATTGAGACGGTGTGTCCGGAGACTTGAGCTCTCCACCTGCGGAGGACAGCTACCTTCGCGACTACTACGGCTTTGGCGTGAATGCATCTTGGCTCATGCAGGTCGAAGATCACATGCAAGGGAAGGCTGCAGGCATGGCCAAGTTTCGCTAGAGTGGGTGGTGCGGGTCTTGCTGAATCTGAGCCCCTCCTACTTGGAGGTTCATGGGTAGTTACAAGTGGAGTTATAAGTCCCCTAATATGGGTTATGAGTATAGTAACCCACCTTATAACCCCACTTATAACTACTCATGAACCTCCAAGTAGAGCCTACGCAGGTCTGGGGACTTTCCACCCGAAACCCAATTGTCGCGGGACGAGACCAGAGCAGTGACCGACAGTCAGGAGAGCGTGGCGAGCGTACACAACGCCAGCTTCAAGGATTCCATCGACTACACTGCCATCAAGAGCCTTTGCTGGTGCTATGTTTTCTCTGTTTTTCAATCCTGACGAGTTGTTTCTTACAGCCCCCCTGGGTTAAGCCAGCATCGGGCGGAAGCCGAAGAAGGTCTGCTTGCAATCGCTTCTAGCTTTCTCTACACCCATTGAGTCCGGCGGCTTCTGGAGGTTTGAGCTTTCAAGTTTCCCTCTGGATCTTCTGGTTGCGAAGGCCCCCAAGGGAGTTACGTTTTGAATCAGGTATTTTGTTTGCTTGCTCTCTGACCTCCCCCGCCTGGCACGTCCGTTGAAAACATCGCAGGGATCGGCCTTGGACCAACTCCTCGAAGGAAACTGCCAGTAGCCAAATCTGTAAAATGGATCTTACATGCGTGCTTGTTCCTGGGTACTTTGCTTGACTATTTCGGAGTGGGCTTCAAGCCTCTCTGAGGCTAGCGGATAGCTCTGCACATATGGCTTCGCAAGATATTTCCCCAAAGCCCCAAGCACTTTTCGCTGAAGCAGAAGCATCCAGCCTCAGACTCTGCAAGATATAGACCCCTCGGTCGATTTAGATTCGTACACCAAGCACGCAGAGGATTGACGGTATCGCACTTGCGTAAGGATGTATGTCCGTAACAGAGCCCTCCTGCTTTCCTATTCTACCTTGGCGACGGGAATCGTGTTCGAGGTTCGTTATTTTCCAGAACTTCAATTTCTGTATGTCTCACCTGCTTTGCCGACGGGAGCTTCGGTTCAGTGATTATGTGGTGAAGCAAGCAGAACCCAGTAGATTGCCCTTAGCCCCAAACCCTGGAAACCCCAAAACCCAAAACCCTGGAAGAAAGTAAACAGCAATGGAGTTGAACGTTAGCAATTTCCAGGAGCCGCTATGTCTTGACCTATGCCCTCACGGATCCTACGTGCCCCAGTGGACAGATCCGCGAGCCCTACAAGAACCTCGGGTTTTCATTCCTTTGGAGAGGGCGTTTCGCTTCATTCCTAGTCCGTCGAACGGCTGAAGACGAAACCCCACAACTTCGAAACCACTCACAACCGAGTTGCTGAAGCTGGTTAGGCTCAGCAACCCTGCAGCTGGCGACGATGTCACCATCTAAGTATCTCTTTACATGCCCAGATGTCTTGAGGGGTTGACAATGAGGCTTCGACATTGTTGATGTCGTTTGAAACTTTTAGTTTCCTCCCCTAAGATCAACCCAGGAGCAAGACCGCCGCCGACAATGAGACCAGGTGGGACCTTCCCAATCCTCGGGTCTGATTTATATAGGGGCGTATTTACCTAGAATGTGTTGGGGCCTCCTTGTTAAAATTATAAGAAAATGGGCGCCCCGAGACCCTATCCTAATGATTAAGGCCCCTACATTAGATGGCATTGTGCCGGGTTTCAAGAAGAAGCACGTGCTCCAGCTCCGGAAGGTCGACGACTACAACCACGTTTCTAACTCCTACCCTTTGCCACTGACACTGCCACTGCCTCTGCCACCGCCACGGTCACCTGCTCCTGCTACTACTACAGTATCTCCACTGCTACGACGACTACTATACAACCACTACTACGACAAAAACGATATCAATAGCAGCAAAATCTATTCCTCCTCCTGCTGCTTTTGCATTTGCAACAGCAACACGAATCAACTACTTGTACTACGACGACGACGACTACTACTACTACTACTACTACTACTACTACTACTACTGCCGCCACTACTACCACTACCGCTACTGCTATGGCCACGGCCACAGCCACGGCCACGGCTGCTGCTGCTGCTGCTGCTGCCAGTTCTAATGAATGGCGCTCGCCGAAACCACGCGCCGTAGGCTAGTCCAATGCATTCAGGTCAGTTTGGAACTCACGGGAAAAGCCCTTTTCTGCGGCCATAACCCCTTCTAGGCCTCTTGCCGGTATTATCGGGCCAATGTATTTCACTTAAAGGAAGCCGGGAAGGAGACCATAATCATCATTGTACAGTTTGTTGTTTCTTGTTTTTCCACCTTGAAGCAACAGCCCGAAGCTAAGATGCAGCCAGGTCTTGCATTGCCATTCCCCAAGCGCTGACTGAAAACCTGCCCGCAAATGCCACTGGGCAAAGTCAGTCTTGGGTTTAGTACATAGGAGAGCTGGAGTGTAGAGGGTCTGTAACAAACCCCGCAAGTGTTTTCTGTCTCTGGTTCAGGGGCTATGTGGGTCCCCAAAGTCCTATACTCCGGGTTTAGGCTCCAGGGCACAAGCCTTACATAACCGCGAAGGTGCGAAAATACTCAGCCAGCCACCCAAAAGGGAGGTACTCGTACTTTATCTTCGCACAATCTTGTGGGTCAACAGCGCAAACCATGCTTGAACCGATTGTGGCAGACCATCAGGCAGGTTTGCCCCTTCACTGCCGAATCCAGGGAAGAATCCAGATAGCAAGATCATTACCCCATGATTACGGTTACTGTCACTGTCATCAACGCTCTTGCTGTTGCTGTTGCTCTGTTACTCCCTTACTTTTAATTTTGTTTTTTTGGACTACGCTTGCTATTGCCATGGCAACGACACATACTCTTACCGCTACTCATACTCTTATGATTACCCTTACTGTCATTTCGAGTGTTGCTATTACTAGTTTACTTGTATTAGGTACTACCTCACTACCTTTTGCTGTTTACTGCTTGCTGGGTACTGTTACTCTTACTTATACTTGTATTATGGAAGTATGCAGACAGCACTGCAGGTCACATACACGGGGTCTTCCGAAACTGATTTAATGTGCACCCCGCAGCAAGGAGCCCTACACAGCTTCACCCATCTCTCGCACCATGGGACACAGACGTTCGGTGTGTGCGCGAGACGGATATCTGATATCTATGTCAGGAGTTGAAGGGCGTTTCCAGACGTGGGGGGGGATTCAAGAACATGCGAATTTGAGTGCAGATTTTTAGCAATTAAAGACTCCGGGCGGTGGAAGCACATAAGAGCCCATTCACTTCAAGCTACGGAGTTCTCAGCGGCAGAGCGCGGCGAGCGCAGCGGGTAATACGGCGTCCCCGAAGCCTCGTGGGTATGATTTCTCAAGCCTGAATTGCGACCCTACACGTCAACCCCTTAAGCTCTCAAGCCTACATCTACGACTCCGCACGCCAAGGTGGGCGTCGGCACGATATTTCCATCTTGTCCTCGATTCAATGCCTCAGACAAGTGCCACTCGCTGCTGCACTTCGGAGGGATGTGGTTTGCAACATGGGAGGGATTAGGACAGGGTTCGCATACACGTGCACATGTGTTCAGCCGTGTTTGTGTATGTGTAATAACATGTAGGCCGACTGCACGCACGCGTCTTGCATTATGCCACAGATGTTTGCATGAGCCGCGGTTTTCGATTTCTAACGTACAGGATGCTGAATACACACGCACATACCCGTCAAAGGATACACGCACAACACAAAGTGCAATGCATGTATGTGTGTGTACACGAACAATCAGACACATCAGTCATGGAGTCAAGCCCCGCATCCACATGTCTAGGGCCATCTGCAATTTGTTGTAAGAGCCCTGCTTGCTGCGTCCTTCATCTCTCGAACGGGCATATGTCATATTTCACCAGTTTCGGGTCTAGGGTTTGTGTTTCTAAACGAAAAGAAGGTGCATCTGTAGATCCCATAAAGTTTTTTGGAGCAGCGCAGATGATCCGCAGATATGGAGAATTTCCCTCAACCCGCACGGAGAATTTCGAGAGTTCGCGACAATTTCCTTACAATTTCTGATCATGACTGCGAGCGACCAGCTGTACTACAAACCTGCTATTCGCCTTCGATTGCAACGTGCTAACCCCCGACCTCCTCAAAGAAAATGCTTGGCGAGGAGCAGTGGCCCTTAGCCGCATTAGCCCTATAATATTGACCATAGAACCGAAGCCTAGCTGCTGAACCCTGAGCCCGAGAGCTGTGCTTTGAATGCATACGGGTTGAATAGTGAGGGGTTTTAGTTGAGGTGGAGGTGGTGATAGTGTTTTGACCAAGAGCAAGCAGCTACCACCTCAGCCAACCTTGGCGCTCGACCTACTTAACGGGCAGGTGAAAAAGAGGTTTCAATCAGCGCCCAAGCCCTAAACCCTCAGTTTTGCGCCGATGACCTGGGTGCAGGCAAAAGTCCGTCGACACCAGATGTTTCTCGGCGCTTGGCAAATCCGTGCTTTCGGAATATGCTGTAGTACTGTTGTATTTTAATTATGGAATACAGTTTCAGGCAACACTATTGTGAAGTATTCCGTATTCCGAGTCCTGTATTAGAGAGTTGGTTGGGTTTCCAGGGCCAGCGGTATATTTTATCCTTCCCCTTATCGGGTCTCACAGGATCTCATCTCAGAATGTTTTTCGGAGGGCTTTGAGGGTCACTCCAGGTGTCGGGTAACTCGGAGCCAGTATCCCGAAACCCCCGAGCCCTAAACTTTGCAGCCTTACGCTCTCACAAGTGTAAAACCTTAAGCGGATGACCTTCGGAGTTCCGCAAACACGTCAGCGAGCCCAGATGGCCCAGATGCAGCTACTGAACAGGTTTCAAGCCTGGGGCAAGAAGTGTAATGATCGAAAACATTCCCAAGACGCTTATGCCCAAAGGCCCAGACGCCTACCTCGATTGTTCGGCCTTGAAGGTTAAGGATTGAAAAGCCTAGGGCCTAGTGCCCAAGTACATTCAAATGCACATGACGAAAGCTCATCCCAAGCTCCATCGCCGGAAACCGCTTCCTCGAGTCTTAATCGACACGGCTTCGGAACGATAGGAGGTCGTGTGCAGTGCAATTTCGCTCGAGATTGCGCACCCAAGGTTCGCACCAATCAAGTTACGTGGTTGTTCGAAACGGTCGTTCCCTGTGCCTGTAAGGCTGTTCAGTGTGTGTTTGTGTGAACATGCCTGAAGCAGCGGTTTGGCGGATTCGAATAAGCTTTGCAAGGCGTGCATCTGGTCGTGGCGCTCCATCAAGTGCGAACAGTACCAAGCTTCACCACCCGGACATGTCTTTGCGCGGGCACACCTGGCTTGTCTAGGTCTTAGCTGGAGGACCCAGCTAGGGTGTTTCAGAACAGGGAGGACCCCCTAATTGTGTTCAGTTTTGTTGCTTAACAGGCTCGTCGGTTACTTCAGGCAGACTTTGTTTTCGTGGGCGGGGTTAGGGGAGTGTAGGCTGAGGATCCTCAGTTTGGAAGTGATCAGCGGCTGCGCACCGGATGCATTGAACAGACTGTTTGACTACCCTCTTATGTCCATAATCAGCCTTCGATTCTTTATGGACCTTTGCAGTTTGCTTGCACGCACACACACACACACACACGCACGTATATATGTAGATGTACTACTTTCCATCTATTCAGTTATATTTACAGTCATGTTTACGCATGCTCAATCAGTTATAAGCTTACCCGACGAACACAACAATATCTAAAATGTATGTGTCTGTGTGTATTTGTAAACACACACATATACATATACCTATGTACATGCATACCTACCTACCCACCCACCTACCTATCTACCAACCAACTTACCTACCCACCGACCTTCCTACCTACATGCCTACCTACCGACCCTGCTTGCCTGCCTACCTGCCCACTTACCTACCTACCTACCTACCTACCTACCTACCTACCTACCTACTTACCTACCTACCTCACCTGCCTAATCTCCTACCTGCCGACCTACCTGCCTGCCTACCTACGTGCCTACCGACCCACCCACCGACCTACCGACCTACCGACCTACCGACCTACCGACCTACCGACCTACCGACCTACCGACCTACCGACCTACCGACCTACCGACCTACCGACCTACCGACCTACCGACCGAC